CGAGAAACTTGTTTTCGGTCTTAATGACTGCCTCCTGGGATCGCTTAACCTTCGCCCCCTTTACGACCTGAGCCCAATTACTAGCCACCTGGGAGTCGGCACTCGACGCGCTGTCAAAGGCCGAAAGGGCCACCCTCCCAGTAAAGTCCGGAAGGCTGGGGAACCCCCGGAGTGCCTCCTCCACCCTAACTACCCTCGCCACTAAACCATCCCTCTGTACCTCGCCCACCTCCTTCCTGATCCCTCTTATCTCATCCTCCACGCTAATGAGCCTTCCCTCTGCTCCCCTAGTCGCTCCTCCAAGCTACAGACTCTGCATACCTGGCATACCTCTCGTTCACTAGTCCCACCTACCCAATCCCCGCAACGAACGCATCTACACATCCTAGGCATCTTACTTACTTAATGTTATTGGTCCCTATTGACACTCCTACTGCTTTAGACTTATACTTTGCAGTACTTCACACTAGTTGTAACCCGGTAAGACTGTACTGTCCTAGTCCTTGTAGTAAAAGGAATACTACGAGTAATGTGCTAATACTTAAAGTAATTAAGCTGATTGATACTGATCTAACGTGAAGTTGGAGGTAGCTATCAGAAAACTTATGAATACTGCTACAAAGTAGCCAGGTAACAACTAACTCACGACTTAGCTGACAGAACCTCGAGAGTATCCTCCAACACGTCCTCACGCTACGAACGCTCGACCAAGACCTGACAAACGGGCAAACAATGTCATGGGCAAACGATCTTGCCTCGCCGCCCGACGCAGGGGCGAAACGCAAGTGGTCGAGTGTTCGGTCGCCCCCAAATGAGATTTTACTTTGTTAATTGACTTTAGTTTGACACCGCTTCTGCCAAGAGGTGTCTCATCAAATGGCTGACGTTGAGTTAATTTGACAGTAGGGGATATGCAACGGTTCCGTTTAACTTGAACTAATCCGATCTCACGATGGTCCTCCGTCGGAATCGGTTTCACGGAGACGATGTCATTCCCGGAGACCCTCGTTACGAAATCAGATGAGTTTAAAGTGAAACAGATCTAGTGCATGTCACCCAATACTTGGATTGAAATAAAATTCGATTTCCCCCGGGTGTCTGATGTGCTCCGTTTGCCCCTTGCGGCAAACGAAAAGATGGAAGAATCGACGGAAGAGCTGGGAAGTTTTGGAATCTGTGCGATGGTGCGATGCCAGTTTTCGCGACGTTTTCGGTGAACCCGCGGGTTCGTTAAAGAAGAAGAAAAAAAAATTCGCAAATATCGCTTTAGAACTTGCCTCTCAAACAGATGAATGGAGTGAGGAATAGAAAGGATTCATCCAGGTAAATAGGACTCTTCCGACCGGCTTCCGGGGACGGAATAGGGCATTCAACGAGGGAAACAGAGATCGACGGAAGAGTTGTACTTCGGACATCCCTGAAATGCTCGGACGTGCCCATTATAACTTCCATGTAATAGAATTCTGGGACACTCGTGGCGCCGTTCATTTAGCAGAGACAAAGAGGCGGTTGTCTCACGATGCCGATGAGATCCGAATCGAGATCGTTCCTCTCCGGTCCGACCTCCACTCTCGCGACCGGACTCACCAGCAATCGGAAGGACGCAGAAGGGACGCAGAAGGGACGCAACGGGAAGCGGCTGATGCGAGGCGAGAGGGTTTTTTCCTCGGGGAAAGATTACGTTCTCTCGTCCTCGATTCGGTAGAGAGAAGGCTATTAGAGGGAGATCTGATGTAGACTTTGGAATTGTTTAGGAGGAAACTTTTTAGATTAAGAAACTTTTTCATCGTCCGGGATCCATTTTCCATAGTGAGAGGGAATACTTACGATTCCACGAGCAAGTGAGAAATGGGGACGAGATTTTCTCCGCAGTTAGCTCCAGCTGTCGGTCCTTGTACCGGAGTTTTTTAATGGGACCGCTCGCGATTGCCAGCATTTACATATGTTAACTCTTATTTTTAAATCCAGTGGATGTTCCTTTTCCAATCGAAGAGTAAGAAAAAAGTAAAGCCAAAATTTAAAAACAAGAAAACAAAAAAGAGAGGGTAAGAGTGTTTTGACCCGGATGCGTGCATGACTAACTAATAAGGATCCTGTTTATCTTTCCTCTTTTCTTCACTTTTTCTTAACGATCCCACAAATTTCGTACGAATGATTGAATTGGAAATAAATATTTAGTACGTTTGATAAGTAAGACGTCTAATTGAAGCGCGATAAGGATCGCCCCTTTTGTCTCTTGCGTCCTGTAGACCCATTCTCTATAGTTTATTCCCTCTCAAAAAAGGCAGTAGCGGCTCCAGGATGACAGGTCAAAAGAGGAAAGGCCGTTATATTCTCATAAACCCACCTGGGATGCTTGAGTGGGTTATGGCAGGAGAGAAAGAGACATTCGTGGAAGGACAGGGTTGTCATATCTTCATATCTTCAACCTGAATTTGAAGGAACTTGGACCCCCGACAACCCTGACCTGTCATTCCACCTCCTTTGCCGTATTTGAAGAAGTCCCAATTAGCGCCTAGCAAAAAACCCCATACCTCCTCTGTCGGCAAATTCTCCGGCCTCATCCATCAAATCTTTTGTTGGGCAGCTAGTGCGTTTTTTTTTACACAGGGAATGAACTATGCTTATCGGTCTACAGAAGTGATCGTGACGTCACGTCCTCATCTTCACCCCACCCCCTCTGAGCCCGTCCCAATGAAGCCCAGCCCTACCTGGCTCGCCTTATCCGAATCCGGTATTATCCCGTAAATGTACTTTATATAACCCGAAGGAGGAAGGACCTCGCCGTGTCTCTTTCTGCTCCTCGTGGAACGCAATGCCCTTGTTCGTTCGCCCCTACTTCCATCTCGTGGGACATGCTCCGTACCGATCGTCTCATTACAGAGTTGGTACCCTTATTAGAAACTTGTGAGCCCCGGATGAGATGCACGATTCACCTTCCAGGCGCATTTCCGCCTTCGAATTCTTCCGATACGGTGGAGCTCCGATGGTATCGACGGGAGGTTTCGCTCTCACGAGTGTGAGCATTCCCCGGAGTAGTTGCTGTGGCTGCATTCGATGTTATGTCGGGGCTGTTCCCCTTCCAGGAAAAGGCGGCAGGGTTGGACGTCTGTCCGCAGTAATCGGTCGGAAGGGGATCGGGCTGTCTCGTTCCGGGTTTTCTTTCCTCGTTGCGAGGGGGAGGGCCTTTGCCTTTGTGCCTTTATCTGAGATGACACTGCCGTGACCTTGACATCGGCAGGAATTTTTAACGAGGCGAAATCCACTTTTGAGAAATATCCTTGTCCCGAGAAAGTGCCCGAGATAGTCCGTGAATACTGCAAAAGAAATCATTGGAGCAAGTTACTCATCTCATCTGCCTTTCTTCCGACCAACCCTTTTCGGCCTCGCCCCTCCTCAAATGCTCTCGGACAATGGTCCTGTCGATCACAATCTCTTCAATCTCTTTCAAGTGGCAGCAAAAGGATCTAGAACTCTGTCGAGAGACACACTCAATCATCATCTGGGAAGAGAAGAGTCGGACCGAGCTCGACCGGCATACAAAAAAAAGAAACAGCCTGTAATCGGCATCGGAAGATACTTCATCGAACGGTGGAAATGCTCTTACTGTAAACCTCGAGAAGTCAATAATTCTATTTCGTCGTTACACCTATCGACTCGGAAACCTTGCCCCTCCCATGTGAAAAGCCCGTGAAATAGAGAGACAGATCGGATTACTTCGAAAGAAATCTATACCAACGCCAAAGTCACGCCCGCATTAAGCCAGTGGATAATAAAACGAGATGGAAAAATCTCAACGTTCTCTTTCCTTGCAACGTATAGAAATCCCCCCCAAGAACATTTCGGTTATGAGACATAAAGCAGCGAGGCCTGAGAAGGAGTTTCGGGGATTCTTTAGTTTGTGCATATTATTCTAAAGGCATCTGTTATTTTGCTGAGGTGATTTCACCAAGCGGTTATTTTACTTTTCTCGATATGTTTCCACTTTTCGCTATAAAATTCTCACGATCCACGCAAACGTTCTCATCCCCAGCCGGTTCCTGGGTCCTCCTGACGATAATCGGATCCGGAGTGGGCGGGACGCTGACCCTGATCGCCCTGGGGATCGGCTGTTGGGTCGGGGCCAAGCGGAGACGAGGCCGAGGGGGCGACAAATCCACCCCGGCCGATTCCACCTCGGACCAGAAGAAGCAAAAATGGCTGAACTCGGAGATGGAGCCCGGGTCGGAGAAGTTCATCGTCGACGAACCCGATCCCGATATCGTTCAGCACAGTGAGTCGCTTTTCGCACCTCTGAGCCTTGACGAATTCGAAATCGAATCCCAGCAGTGAAAATGCTCGTGTTTCGAATATTACGGCAAATCGCTGAATCTTCTGAATCCTCGTGTGATTCCCCTGGCGGTTTTTTCGGCAATACGTACTCTATCGCCGTCGAGCGGAAAACAAACGCGTTTCGGGCTGCACGGACGAAAACGATGCGAATTTCCCGAATTCCAGCCCGGCCGGGGCCGAAGGACGATCCGGCTCCCATGAATCATCGACCACTACTGCATATACAACGAAATCTCATCACCCGTATCTGAAGGGAACCTATTCATCTATTAATTCCAGGAGTTTGTGCCACGGGCCTGGGGGAGTGATCCATTCCAATATTCCGCAGTCATTATATACCTTATCCCTTTCTCTCCGCCAGTCATTTGGGGTTCTGGAAGGGATGAATGGGCTTTCCAACGAGAGAGATGCATTATGTGACAGACGAGGTCTTATCAAACCTCCTTTCACCTCCATTTCCCGTTTGATGTGGAATGATAATTCATCCCCCATCTCGCGTCGATCCGGGCTCTTCGCTCTCGTTCTTTCGCCCGATCGAACCGTGGCCGAGAACGGGGCTCTTCGGTTGGGGTTTCCGTGTGCCAGAGGCTTAGTTTGGGTCGTCGAGGGGTCGAAGTTCGTGGCGCGGTTCTCTGGTGATGTGACGCACCGTTCTCAAATAAAATAATATTTAAAAAAGCGATGGAGAGGTCGTGGACGGGACGATCGCCCGATCGAAACTCCTATACGAGTCGTCGTGTGTCATATCCTAAATGAAGGGGAACGGAGAGACCTTCCGACCGTAAGGAAATCGTCGCGGTCGTAGCGCGGAATTTCGAACAATGAACGAGGAAAGAGATGGCAATATCCACTCGAGCTCGGAGAGAGCGAAACTTTTTTTTTTCCCGGAATGGCGCATTAATGGATGCCTGGTGCCTTTGGGTCTGATGGCCGAGCAGCCGAGCCACTCGAATTTCTCTAGCCCTAACAAGAATATAGAAGATTTCATGTCCTTATGAGGAATGGACTTCTACCCCATCGCGTCGTCATCGGGCGTATTTCACTCATGGACTGGAAGGGAAGAATGAGGGGGGGGGGGGGCG